AAACCAAATCAGGCATAACTGTTTCTGAAACCAAAACCCAAATCAGGCATACCTGTTCCCTGAAACTGAAACCCAATTCCGGCATTCCTGTTCCCTGAAACTGAAACCCAATTCAGGCATACCTGTTTCCTGAAACCAAAACCCAATTCAGGCATACCTGTTCCCTGAAACCAAAACCCAATTCAGGCATACCTGTTTCCTAAAACCAAAACCCAATTCAGGCATACCTGTTCCCTGAAACTGAAACCCAATTCAGGCATACCTGTTTCCTGAAACTGAAACCCAATTCAGGCATACCTATTCCCTGCAACCAAAACCCAATTCAGGCATACCTGTTCCCAGAAACTGAAACCCAATTCAGGCATACCTGTTCCCTGAAACTGAAACCCAATTCAGGCATACCTGTTCCCAGAAACTGAAACCCAATTCAGGCATACCTGTTCCCTGAAACCGAAAACCCAATTCAGGCATACCTGTTCCCAGAAACTGAAACCCAATTCAGGCATACCTGTTCCCAGAAACTGAAACCCAATTCAGGCATACCTGTTCCCTGAAACTGAAACCCAATTCAGGCATACCTGTTCCCAGAAACTGAAACCCAATTCAGGCATACCTGTTCCCTGAAACTGAAACCCAATTCAGGCATACCTGTTCCCTGAAACTGAAACCCAATTCAGGCATACCTGTTCCCTGAAACCGAAAACCCAATTCAGGCATTTGCTACCTGCTCCCTTAATTTAACCTCTACTATAGTCTTCTGTTGACCAGAATGTAACAACTTCATCAATTTATATGTTACAGTGGAACCTTTGATCACATCAATGGATTTCCAGCTCGTCAAATCCGTCACTCAACTAGGAAGAGTCCTCTAAACCCATTGATAGAAGTGGCAAGGCAAACCAATAAACCAGTACCTGTATTGTCCATGCTGTGGAGAAGACAATACATTCATCCAATGCTGACAACAGACAAGTAAGTATGTGATCTTTAAGTCGTTGCACTGTGATGGCATTTTTACTAACCAGCATGTGAATGTCTGTGAATGTTGTTTGCTGATTAGCACTACCTCACATTATTACCGAGAACAACAACAGCGAATGACTGATTCTTCCCAACCATTCACTGCACATGTGCATGTATGCAAAATGTAAGAAGGTGTGAGAACCAATAAAAGTGGGAGCTGAAGGAGGTAGGGGTACTAAATAGCGGATGTATTTTTAAAGCAAATCTTAAATTTTGAATTAATTTAAACGTCTCCAATACTCTCAGCATTCAGGAGTTCTTTCTAAGCTTTATTTGATTTTATTGTTGGTTTCAGTGTCCCACCTGTCGCTGACAATGTTGGCACACACCTTAACCTGCGTATCACGGATGATGGATATATAACTGGTGACATGAGTATGAATCTTCCACCAATGAGAGCTCTGCTTTTGGATCCATATGATGGGTGAGTATTGGGCCCAGGAATGAGCATATGTTAAACTACTGTCATTGTGGTGTTTTGTCACTATGAATACCATTCCATTGACTATCTTCTCTTTTTTCATTCCTAGGTCTGTTTGTATTCCACATACACCCAGTGTAAGTGAGTCATGGTTCTCATTAGTAGAATCAACAAGTAAGTTTTTACAGTTGATAGTGTGTTTGAATTTACTGGTAGCCAATTTTAAGAAAATCTCAATTTGTGGATAATGCTATCCCATGATGTCACTCGTATTTATTTACAAGTCTATAATCCATTTATTCTCTGTTTATTACATAGTGCAGAAGTTTCTGCTTCCAGTACCTCAACAGATTTATTCAGATCCAACACAGAAAATTGTGGTTGATCTCATTCAGGTGAACCGATGTGAACAAAGTCATGGCACAAGCCAGGTACGGATCTTGCAATGGCGAAGCCCCGGGAAATTCTACCAACTCAACTTAGGGAGTGCCATTCGTAAGACAGCAAAAAAGGTAATAGTATATACAAATTGTTCCTTTTTCTAGAAAGTTATGAATATTTTATTTACTCTATTGGAGTACACCTCCAATAAATGCCATATAAACCAAAAATTGCATTTATTTTTTTCTAAATCTTTGAAATACTACCTATTTTGACCATCGAAAATCTTGATAATTCAACTATATGCATAAACTACTACCTATAATAATCTGAATATTTTGGAAAATTATTTCCTAGTATTTACAAGACAAGGCTATGTAACTTAAATATTTATGTATGGTGATATGTGATCCTATTCAGCAAAAGTTCCATGCAGTCATTAATAAAACTTATTTCTGATGAGTGACATCACATAGTGCAATGCATGCTGGGAAGTTGATTGTCAGAAAACAGAAATAAGCAATGTTATTGTTAACTTGAAATTGATTCTTTATATCAGACCATCTCTATCTTATAAATCCTTGATTCTAAATACATTTTAAACTTCTATTCCAGTTTTACATCCTGCAAAAAAACCTCTCACTTATCCTTGTCAGCATCACAATGTTTTGGGATTTTGTGCAGTTTATTCAACAGAATCTAAAAGTGGCCAAGAGTGATTACAGAGATGAAAAATGTTTGTTTAGGTGATTAAACACCACAACTCTCACTGCCGACTAGCTTCAATATCCCAATATGATTTGTAGCCATGGCAACAGATTTTATCATTTATTATGGTGATCACAATAATCAGTGGGAGGCAGTTCTGCATATTATTAGTCCCCGTTCGGACGCAGTCCGAAAACGGGGACTTATGTTTTGCCCTGTGTGCGTCCGTCCGTCCGTGCGTCCGTGCGTCCGTGCGTCCGTGATCACCTGTATCTCAAACATGCATGGACCGATTAAGTTCAAACTTCACTCATACATCACACATTATATGGGACATATGCACATGCATTTTTTTCATGATCCGATTAACGATAGCCGAATAGCGGCCATTTTAAGGCCGAAAATGCATCAAAATCGCACATTTTCACCATTCCGGACCCGGATCTCAGTTATGCATGGACGGATTTTGTTCAAATTTGGTACATACATTAAACATAATAGGACCTTGATGCACGTCATTTTTTTTTTCGGATCAAGTTCGAAATAGCCAACTGGCGGCCATTTTGTTTTAAAGAATTCAGTTCTGGATCCGTATCCGAGACATGTCTGGATTGATCAAGTCAA